AACCATGGTTCTTTTTTTAAAACGTACCTATGATTTTAAAAGGGTGATATGGTGTAAAGAACCATGGGCTAGCAATCTTGAGAATTAGGAAATCTGGACAATTTACTCCATCACTTTGAGCTTTAGTCTCTTCAGTTGTTCAGTGTAACAACAGAACCAACCTGTCCTCAAAGTAGGGATTTTAAGAATTAAACAAGATAGCAGGGAAACGAATTCTACAAACCATGGAGGATCGAGCAAATGTAAGGGAGTTTATTTATCTTGAACATATCCTTAATGCAATTACTACTGGCACTAATGCAAGCACCTGTGTAAATACCACAGATAATATATTTTATTTTTAGTATTCTAAAACGCACCAGCTGCTTCTCGGAAACCTATATACAGGGTCACTACGAGTCAGAACTGATTCAAGAACACTTAACAGCAACAACCAAGGGTGTTATAAAGTTCCTAGGTGATGGAAATTATGAAGAACTTGGCTGCTAACTGAAAGAGCAGAGGTCTTAGTCCACCCAGAGGTACCTTGGAACAAAGTCCTGGCAATCTACTTAAAAAAAAAAAAAAAAATCAGTCACTGAAAACCCTCATGGAGCACAATTCTATCCTGACACACATGGGGTTGGAATGAGTCGGATGGACTCGGTAACAATTGGTTTGTTTTTGTGGTTTGTTTTTAAGGATATCCTGGAGTGTGGTTGCTCAGCTAAGAACAGAGATTATAAACTTGGCAGAACATCAGTTAAGGACACTGTGTTGCCACAGACATTAAAGCATGACCAGGTGGAATCCAAGGGTTCCAGTTTGAAAATGGCTCTGCTGAGATTTCCCTTTGTGTGTATATGCATGTGTGAGTGTGCATTCATGCATTCACATACACATATTTTGTTTCCAGCACTGGGGTGGTAGATGCTGAATTGCTTGTTTGGCATTCATAGCAGGTTTGAGCCATTACTTCAGAAATGCTTATAAACCACTGAAATGAATGAGATTACAATCATGCATGATGTGTAAGAACAGAGTGAGAAATCTGGACCCAAATCTCATGATTGAGTTCCAGTGCTTGGCTCCTTAAAATATGCTCTCTAAGGTGACCACACTTATGTCCCCCCACTTGTGATTCTGTCATCTGAATGCATTATCTCCATTTTAGTTTTTAAATTCTGCATATCGTTCATGGCACCTTCAGATTGGTTTCTCACCTCGAGTTTTGGGTTCTTCTGATGCAAAAGAAAGAAAGAAACAAAAAAACTTACAGATCTTAAAGAAAAGAATGCATGGAACAGACAGAGCTTAAAGGACGTTCCAGATCCCTGTATTTGAGCATAGAGAAATGAATCTACTATCTGTAATTAAAGGAGCTCTGGTAGCGTAGTGCTTATGAATTGGGCTGCAAACTGCAAGGTCAGCAGTTCGAAACTACCAGCTGTTCCACGGGAGAAAGATGAGGCTTTCTGCTCCAATAAAGATTTACAGATTTGGAAACCCTGTACAAGGTCGCTGTGAGTTGGAACTGACTCCATGGCACATAACTAACCACACCTGTATTTAAGAATACTGGGTTTGGAGGCACACAACCTGTGTTTGAATCCCAATTCTACAGATTACAAGCTGTGTGACCGTGGGCAGGTCACTTTCCTGGCTTGTGAAATGAAGATGATGATAGTGTCTGCCTTGTACGATGATGGGGCTTTATCTTGTCATTCAATTTTTCCATGAACTTTTTTGAAGCCTCCTTGTAGAATTGGTGAGCGGATTAAATACATGAAAAATACTGAGCACAGTTTCTGGGACAAAGCAAGTGTTCACAAAATACTGGGAAGCTATTGTGTTTGTTGGAGTCCTGGTGTGGTGCTGCAGGTTAATGCACTGGACTGCAAAGTTGGTTTGAATCTCAGAGTTAGCAGTTTAAGCTACAAGTTGGAACTGACTCAGTGACACTTAACAACAACAACAACATTGTAGTTGTAGGTTGGCAGGAAGCATTGTAATTCTGTTTTATTAGAATGCTTCTCTTCTGATTTTTCTGTACTTATCCAGTGGTTCTCAACTGGGAGTGGCTTTGTCCCACATTAGCCATTTGGCAATGTCTGGAAACATTTTTGGTTGTTACAACTGGGGAGAAGTGGTATGGAGTGCAGGTAGAGGTCATGGATGCTGCTGAACATCCTACAATGCACAGGATAACACCCCACAACAAAGAAATCTCTGACCCAAAATGTCAATAGCAGTATGATTGAGAAACACTGGAAACTGGACAGTGTGGGGTTTGTAATGAAGCCATGTAACAATGTTTACAACTCAGACCTGGGACAGTGTTTTGCACGGATACCTGGAATCCATTGTTAGTTACCTTTAACTAGGCTCCTGACTCAGGACAATCCCACGCACAACAGAACAAAATGCTTCCCAGTATGTTGCAGACTAGACCATTGTGACTGATTAGCTTTTCAATGGCTAATTTTTGGAAGTAGGTGACCAGGTCTTTCTTCCTAGTCCGTCCTAGGCTGGAAGTCTGCTGAAGCCAGTTAAGCACCATAGCAACACACAAACTCTCATTGGCAGATGGGTGGTGGATACATTTGAGATGCATCGGCTGGAAATCAAACTGTGTTTCCTATATACAAGGTTCAAATTCTACCGTTAAGCTACCAAATACCTACCTGGGATCTAGGAAACCTAAAATGTGTTTTAGTTATGAGAAGAAAAGCATATTAGGGTTGTTATTGTTAAGTACCGTCGAGTCAGTTCTGACCCATAGTGACCCTGTACAGGGTTTCCAAGGCTGTAAATCTTTACGGGAGCAGATAAGCCTCACCTTTCTCCCGTGGAACCGCTGGTACTTTCAAACTGCTGACCTTGTGGTTCGCAGTCCAATTTGTAACCACTATGCAGAGCTCTTTAGCCTTGACAATTTCTGGGCATGACCAAGTCACCCCTGATGACTGGTAAATGTAGATACTAAGCAGGGAATACATAGGTTTTCTTTCCTCTCTGAGGGGGTTATTGGTGGCAGTGATTCCTGTCATGACCAGAGTGATTTCCTTAAGGACCACTGCACCCTTATGCCTCTGCTCTCTGTAGCCTGTTCTACTGAGGTTTTTAGCTCATCATCAGTTTAGAGGACTAAAAAATTTGAGAAACCAGAGACAAAGTTCAACTGTCAGGAACCTCCCCACTTTCCTAGAATCCACCTCAAGCATGAATAAAGTGGAAGACTATTTCTTAGGCAGTGTCTGTTGGATTGTTTTACAGGATTTCAGAAGGACAGACTCCTGGCTTTCTTTTCCAAATGAGCATCTTAGCCTGGAAGCATAAATGAGAGGTGTGGGCAATCTCAGATAATGAAGGTGTTGTATTGGTATTGTTATTAAGTGCTGGCCAGTTGGTTCTGATTCATACGGACCTTGTATAGGGTTTCCAAGGAGTCACTGGTGGGTTTGAACTGACTACCTCATGGTTAGCAGTAAAGTGCTTATTCTACAATGCCACATTGTTGTTGTTAAGGGCTGTTGAGTCAGTTCTAACTCATAGCAACCCTGTATAGGGTTTCCAAGAAGCGGTGGGTGAGTCTGAACCACCAACCTTGCAGTTCAAATTAATCTTGCAGTCCAGTGCTTATCCTACAGTGCCACACCTAGACTCCACAAAGCCACATTGTTGGTTGTTGTTGTTAAGTGCTGTCACGTCAGTTCCAACTCACAGTGACCCTGGATAGTGTTTCCAAGGAGCAGCTAGTGAGTTCAAACCGCCATCCTTGCAGTTCAAGCCTACCTTATAATCAAGTGCTTATCCTACAGTGCCACCCCAGGACTCTTGTTTTTGTTGTTAAGTGCAGTTGAGTCAGTTCCGACCCATAGCAATCCTGTATAGGGTTTCCAAGGAGAGGCTGGTGAGCTTGAACCATCAGCCTTGTGGTTCAAACCAACTCTGCAATCCAGTGCATTAATTAGCCCACAGTGCCACACCAACACTCTCAGCCCTCCCCAATATTCAAGTTTGCTGACATCACTGTAGACTTCATCTTGGCCTTGAATGGTTTTCTGACCTTTTGCTTATAAAATAACTCTGTGTTTGTCTTGGCATTCAGCTCAGAAAGCATACCAACATTTCAAAAATTCAGACTACTGTCCCCAAAGAGTAAAATGTGCAGTGAAAATAACATGACATACATGCAAATCTAAAAGTATGTTCTTAAAGTTCTGGGAATCAGCTTTTCCAATTTCCCCATCTACAATTCCTTTCTCTCTACACCCCTAAAAACAAATAAATCATTAGCTTAAAATGATTACCAAATTCTATAGGTCTCTTTCTTTAAGACAAAATACTTGCAGGTATAATTTCTGGTCATGACCATGTCACCCCTGGGTGACTAGTAAATGTAAATACTCAGCAGAGAATCTGCAGTCATTCTTTCCTCTATGAGGGGACTATTTGTGGCAGTGATTCCTGACGTGACCAAAGTGACTTCGTATTTTGTCTCAAAGAAATGGGGTTCATTCTTGGAAAATAGAATGCAGGGATCAAGGAATTTTTCCTTGAACTTTTTGAAGCCCTTTAATATGTAAAAAAAAAAAAAAAAAATTATAATAAATAATTAAAACTGTCATTGCTGTAGTAATAATTAAAGGAGATATCCTTCTCAGTTTATCTCAATAAAGTAATCTTGCTAAACACTTTCACTGTGTTCCTCCTTGCTCTAGCTGATGTACTGGGGCCCATGTATACTACCCACCTTCTAATGGATTCATCACCTTAAGTCCTATATCACTTAAATCACACGGAAAGTGCCAGTGGCTTAGACCAGTGGTGACGTTTTCAAAATCCTGATGCCTTGACTGTACCCAAGATGAATTAAACCAAAATTTCTAGGGTTGGGGCCTAGTTCTCAGGTTATTCCTATGGGCCTCCAAGGTTGAGAACCAATGGTTAGAAGAAAATCTACTATAACCACCAGAAGAAATCTGACATTTTACTACCACCTCATGATCTATTTTCAGGTATTTCGACATGGAGACAGAAGTCCCATTGAAACCTTCCCCAACGACCCCATTAAAGAGTCTTCATGGCCACAAGGATTTGGCCAACTCACTCAGGTAGGTTAGATTTTCAGCTAAAGGTTGTTGATAAGTCTCCAGGGTATCTGTGCATAGAGTTGTTTGATTTGATGTTTTTTACACTGTTGAAGTATAAATGGTGTGCATGGAGAAAAGAAGAGTTTAGAGATGCTGAAGAGAGCCAAGAGGTACTTGGTAGAACTTCCCCATAATGTTTTCAAGGCTGTAATCTTTACAGCAGCACACTGCCACATCTTTCTCCTGTGGAACAGCTGGTAGGTTAGAATTGCCCACCTTTCAGTAGCTGATCATTTAATCCACTGCCCCAAAAGGGCAAATGGTCCAAAGCACCATTAAGATAATGTTATAGCATACTGAGCGTTGATGTCTTCAAAACTAGTAGATTTTAATCACAGTTAAACATTGGAATTATTTGAAATGCTAAAAAAAAATAAAAAATACTGATGCCTTCATGGGCTTACTTGCTTTCTGGGTTCTCCATCCTGTTGTTGTTGTTATGTGCCGTGGAGTCGGTTCCATAGTGGTTATGGGAGCAGACCGCCTTATCTTTCTCCCGCAGAGCAGCTGGTAGTTTCGAACTGCTGACCTTGAGGCTCGCAGCCCGATTCATAACCACTATGCTACCAGAGCTCCTTACTAGTCTGACTATAAATTTGAAAAGAGGCTTTGATTCTGTAGGAAGGTTGTGTGATGCTGGAAGAGAGACAGATGCCAGTCATATTTAGAAGCAGAATCTCAGATGTGGTGAAAAATGGGAAATTGTTCACTACACGTTAGTAAGCACAAATAAGCTTATGCTTACCTTATTTATTGAGTAATCTGTCAATGTGTGGCACTCTGCTTCCATAAAGCTTGGGAAATCCTATAGTGCCATTCTATTCTCTCCTACCTGGTTACTATAAATCATAATTTAACTGGATGGAAACCAGCTTTGGGTTGTTTTTGTTTGTTATTATTGTTGGGGTGTTTTGTTTTTATTGGTTTCATACAAAAGAGGAGGAGCTCTGGTAGCATAGTGGTTATGAATTGGGCTGGAACCGCAAGGTCAGCAGTTGGAAACTACCAGCTGTTCCGTGGGAGACAGAGGAGGCTTTCTGCTCCCGTAAAGATTTACAGCCTCGGAAACCCTGTACAGGGTAGCTATGATTCGGAATCGACTCCACGGAACAAAACAACAATAACATACAAAGGAGGACTAGTTCATCAGAAGTGAGCTGTAAATTAGAGCAGCAATTAAACCCAAGCACCTGCTTTCTCAACTACTTAGGCACCCAGGAAGTCCACCTACCTCAACATGCACCTTATTCCTTTCCCACCCCCATGGTCATTCTAAATGGGCCATGATAATAGTGGTGGCTAAACGTGACACACAAATGAGTGGGTGGGACTGAGCAGCAGCCACAAAGATCACATCCTTTAACTCCTGAAGCTCTGGTGAGGCCCTAGATTAAAGACAAACTTGAATGCAATGTTTCCCAAAGCATGGAGCTCTACTACCTCCATCTGAATTTCCTGGGGCACCTGTAAAAGGCAATTCCAGGACACCACCCAGGATCTAATGATCTTGAATCTCTGGGAAAGATGCTGAGAAATTTGCAATGAGCACTCGCTGATAATTTTGCTTCTGATGCTTAGTAATGCTTGAAGATCATTGAGCTAATACATCACTGCTTAATGATTAATATTATCAGAATCACTCAGACAGCTAATTAGAAATAGATTCCTGAGCTCCACCCCCAAAACCTTCTGGTTCAGTAGGTCAAGGGTGAGGCCCAAGAATTTTATTTCTAGCAAGTTTTCAGGTAAGGCCAATACTGCTGGTTCACAGACCACACTTTGAGTATTGTTGTTGTTATTGTTAAATGCTGTCGAGTTGGTTCCAACCCATAGCAACCCTGCATAGGGTTTCCAAGGAGTTACTGGTGAGCTTGAACTGCTGACCTTGCGGTTCAAACCAACTTTGCAGTCCAGTGCATTAACCCACAGTGCCACACCAGAACTCCAAAAGCCTACAGCACCCAGTATTCCCAGGCTGTCTCCCATCCAACTATTAATCAGGCCTGACCTTAGCTTCTGAGATCAGACAAGACTGGGCCCATTCAGAGTGCTATGGCCATATTTTTATTGTTGTTGTTAAGTACTGTTGAGTCGATTCCAACCCATAGCAACCCTCTATAGAGTTTCCGAGGAGCAGCTGGTGAGCTTGAACTGCCGACCTTGAAGTTCAAACGGCTTTGCAGTCTGGCGCATTAACCCACATCACCACACCAGGACTCGTATTAGGTGCTAATTTTTTAGGAAACAGGCATAAACTCAATTTTTTATGAGCCAGGCATAAACTCAGCAGATAATAAAAGCATTGCTATCAGAGAATCTTAAGATTTATTTGTTGTTGCTGTTGTTAAGTGCTGTTGAGTCGGTTCCGACCCATAGCGACCCTGTACAGGGTTTCCAAGGGTGTAAATCCTTACGGGAGTAGAAAGCCTCATCTTTCTCCCATGGAGCGGCTGGTAGTTTCGAACCGCTGACCTTAAGGTTCGCAGCCCGATTCGTAACCACTACGCTACCCACCCTCTTATCAGGTGATTGGCTTCTTCCACAAAATCCCCAAGTGGTCAGAAGACCCTGTGAATGCTTTCCTAACAAGGATCTCACTATCACACCAGATATGAAGCATTTGCTTAAACCCGATCAATCTACAACTATTAAGCACCTCTATGTGGCGTCCTAGAGTGGAGCTCTAGGACTACTAACTGCAAAGTGGGCAGTTCAAGCCCAACAGCCACTCCTCTATACAGGGCCACTATGACCGGAACTGACTCAACTCCGTGGTATGTAACAAGAATAACACGTGTAAGGTGATGTTAAGAACTAAGGAAGATGAGTGAACTTCCTCAGGGAGTCCTGACTAAAATTGACAGCTCTTTTCTTGTTTTCATTTAAATAGATATTGTTATTGTGAGCCTATTAAAACACAATTTGTTCATGTACAGTAAGAAGAGATGAGACAAATTTAAATGAGTATTTGATTCACAGAGCCTACTTTCACTAACTTTTGATTCCCACCCCCACCCCACCCCCATAGGTGGGGATGGAGCAGCATTACGAACTTGGAGAATATATGCGAAGAAGATATGAAAAATTCTTGAATGAGTCTTATAAACATGAACAGGCAAGTTGGAGATCTAAGAATGGGAACCTTGACCCTTGAAAGAATGTAACATAATGCTGCGTATGTAAAAGGCCCTGCTTGTTTCCCAAAAAATTTATACAATTAGTTTGCTACTAAAAAAAATTGATAAATTTAAGTAAGTTCAAAACCTTATGAAAACCTGTTATTAACACTTGGACTTGACAAGCAGCCATCACTTAATTGGCTTAGTATCAATTCAACTACTGGTCTCATTGTAATAGATATTGTGATCAACGATAGTACCACAAAGTCTGACAATATTTTGGTATGGGTGTCCTACTCCATAAGGAAAAAAAATATCCACAGACTCTCTGCTCTGATTTTTCCATTCTAGGTATATATTCGAAGCACAGACATTGACCGGACCTTGATGAGTGCTATGGCAAACCTTGCAGCCTTGTTTCCCCCAGAGGGCATGAGTGTCTGGAATCCCAACCTACCTTGGCAGCCCATTCCAGTGCACACAGTGCCTGTTTCTGAAGATGGGGTCAGTATACTCGGAAAACCAAGAGATTCCACATGGACCTGGAAGTAGGAAGGAAGACAGTTCAGTATTGTGGATTTAGGACTTTGGACACTCCTTAGACTGTGTAGTCTTACTTTACCTAAATTTTGAGTGCAAAAAACAACAGAGAATATGGACAAGGAGCTCTGGTAGTGTAGTGGTTACGAATTGGGCTGCGAACCACGAGGTCAACAGTTCGAAATTACCAGCTGTTCCGCGGGAGAAAGATGAGGCTTTCTGCTCCCATACAGATTTACAGCCTCGGAAACCCTGTACAGGGTCACTATGAGTCAGAACCGACCCCACGGCACATAACAACAACAACAGTCAAGAGAAATAGGGAAGAGAATTTCTCTTTGGGTACTTTTCATCTACTTTGCTTTGCCACTCTTTCACATTTTGGCTTAGAACCCAGTACTTCTGTTGATACGGCATTAGGGCAGTTTTATTTATCCTCTTTGGGCCCTAATTCAAGGAGTCCTGGTCTTGCTGTGAATAAAGCATTGGGTTGCTAACCCAATAATTTACATCTCCAAAGGGCACATTCTGCAAGTCTGCTCCTGGCCACCAGCTCTTAGTCCTTCTCTTCTTAGTCCTTGAATCTAGAGTCCTCAGCCACTTCCCCTCTCCTTGCCCCCATTATCTGCCTCCATCTCTGGCGCTGCTGTTTCTCTGGATAAGGTCCCGGATTCTGCTTGTGCGTTCCTCTTTTGATGGTCTTAGGGTCCTCTGTTTCTGGACTGTAAGATGAACCACTCCCTTTTTTTTGTTACAAAACTTCTACCTTTATAATTATGACAGTCGCGATTAGTCATGATAACGATCAGTCACTACTGAATCTTACAAATCTTATCCCCCTCTCTTTTCACCAGACCCATCTAGACAAGGTGACAGCTATTCAGTGGGGACTCTTTTGTTTCCCCCATACTCTTAAACTAACCTGCCTCTTGAAACCTTGTAAGCCAGTCACTTTGTGACTTTATTGCCCCCTCATTTTAGGTAGCCAATGTCTAAGTTGCCCGTCCCTGTCTATCCTGTGTACAGAGGGGATAGCATTGATACTTGATGTGAAGACTCTTTCCCTCTCTGTTGGTATTTAAAGTAACTACCACTCTGCATATAGGTCAGGTTCATCATGAAGATGTATCTTCTGTCACTGTAGCTGTTCCAGCCT